TCCTTTGGTTGTCTTTAGGTTTCTTGATTTCCAATGTGGTTCAGAGTACTGTGACTGTGTAGTTCTTTTGCTCGTAACGACTGATAGATTGGGTCAATGTCGATGTTTTTATTAATCGATTTTCGTGTAGAGTACCACGCTTCAGCAAAATCTCGCTCGCGTTTTGTTCTTTTGTGATCAAGTATTTGAACATCGACCCCATTGATCTTGTCATTTTCTCAAATAACTGCAGTCCGAGGAATTTTACATATGGGTGCTGATTTGTCAGCAAACCCAGAGCAGAGGAAGATTACGCTGCCGTATATCAGAAAATGTAGCGGAGATGACTCTACGGCAATTACGGTAGAAATTACAGTCACCTTCAAGCCTGAAAACAGGTTGAGAACTCTCTCGAAACCAAAGTGAGGGTTGGATGCAGTGAAGAAGACAAACGTGGTCTACAAACTTGAGTGTAACGACTGCGACAGACATTTTACTGGCCAAACTGGAAGAAAACTTGCTACAGAGTACACGAGTAATAGCTTGCCAGCAGAAGACATGACCGAATGTCACTAGTCTCCATCCACGAAGACAGAGGAGGATAGAAATCCAATCGAGACAATGTTCAAATAATTGCTCACGCAAGAACAAAACTTAAACGAGAGTTTGCCGAGGTGTGGTTCTACGTCACCTGTGGTTTTCAGACAAGTGCCAGCTGGTGGCCATGACGATAGTCGTTCGATACATTCGGCCCACCGGTCGAGGCATTCTTCTTCATTGACAGTCACTCCATTCCTATCCTTGGCGGTTTCACTCCCAGGTGGTTTCCGGGGACCTTTGTCACGGTTAGACTGAAATAATCTTCGGGCATTCCCGTCTTTCCGAGCCTCTTCCATTTCCTTGACTTTCTGTGTCCACCACACTTCACGGTCGGTTTGCAACACTCACCTTCACTTGACTTCTGATAATTTGTCGCATCAAGTTATGTTCCGGGCGGGCTGAGATATTTCTCCGAGATTTAAGGAGTGCCACCGTTTGGTTTGATATCCAGTACTTGAATGAGCCTGGTGGTGCCGTGCCACACGCAAAATTCCCAGCACTATGCAAAGAGTTGGCAATCTCGTCCCGATATGAGTTTGCATCTGATGTTGGAGCCTTTGGAAGAGACTCTAGAAGACTATTCTGTTAAGTTCGTCTAACATCCGGATCTGCCAGTCTCTCAGTTGCTAAGCCATTTGTCCACACCTTATGCGGCTGTGGAAAACGTAGGGCGATGCGACTCCGGACGATTGCGTGGTCGGAATCCACAAATGTGTTCCAAAACGACCGGCAGTCAGTTATTGATCCGCACCACCGGTAACTGATGGCAATTTGGTCGATTTGAGTTTTTGGCCAGTATGCCGTTGGAGGACACCATTTGACCAGACGTCTTTGGTTATTTCGGAAGTTACTAGTGAATAAAAACAGCCTTCGATTAGCACAGAGCTGGAGCGCTCGTTCCCCATTGTCCGTGCGTACCGAGTTTTAACGGAAGCTATTTGGAAATCATTTCAGCCGCATTACGTACGTGAATCTTATTCGAATTGTGACTGTAAATTACAGTAGGTCATTTGAGTTCGATAAATTGCAGTCATGTTTACGCAGCAGTGTGCAAACCATGAGAAACGTAAGACCGGGTTGCCGGTGAGACAGCAGATAATTTTGCACGTTTTTAGTGTTCATCTCTTGAAACTGGAGTTTTCCGTAGGGTTTCCATGATTAAAGTTCTGGTTTTACAGGTTCTGCTAAGCTTATGCAATCGGCAATGTTCTAGCGGCAGCGGGAAAACAAGCGTCACGTCACCAACTTCCAAATCAAATAAAGATTACGAGTTCTAATCGTCATCGAGTAAGACTGATTTGATTTTGATAACCAGAAGTGGTGATTATACATCGCATTAATCTACTATCACATTTCACCTCCAGTTAACGGAAGGGGCAATCAGTGAGAGCAAGGAAGGGGATCATGATTGTAACAAATGTTCCACTTATTGGTTCTAACCAAGCCAAACAGACTCACTAAGATGAGGGTTTAATATTTTCCTCGCCTGAGAATAGGGAATCTACTGGGACCAATAATCAGGGCATGGTGCTACATTCATGTCGATCACTTTAAAATAACTCAATATGGATGGGTGGTACTCAAACGTCCGTCAGCAGACAGATGTTTCCTCAGCAATCCGGGACACGTGACTGTGGGGTCAAGTGATGACACAAACATGAATAAAGGAACATTTGTCTGCTTGATCGATTCCTCGTTGATCTGCACTCACAACAGCAACAAATGTGCGTCCATATCGGTGGAAAGATGCTACTCATACGGGATATAGTGGAAACACAGAACGCGCACTTACACCCAGTGGGATTGCCCCGATAGCGTGATTTGCAAGGTTAGTGGCGATACCGCAGATTAGATGCGTACTCTGCTTTACTAGAACAGTTCCACTATTTCTCAGCCGTCGCATAAGCACACCAACCACCAGGGTGACAGTCGAAACGATTGGACAGATTGTATCATTAATTTCATTCAACTGGTTCCATAACGTAAGAGTACGTATCCAAAGAACTCTGGATAAACGGCGAGATGGTAGAAGGTGAGTTTAGAAAACAAAGAACTCTGGATAAACGTACTTGTCGGCGAGATGGTAGAAGGTGAGTTTAGAAAAGGCTTCCTCGACTACGAATGCTTCGTGACGTTTAGTGAAGACTGCAGAAGCCGGTCAAACTTAACCACATGATGTGGATTGCCGGTTGATTGATGGGTGATGCTGTATCCTAGCTAAGTGCAAGTTAATCACACTGCTAACCAGCCGCTTGTGGTCGCGTGGTTTAGCCCCAAAATACTAGCCGAGAAATGTGAACTCCAATCGTCCTAGAAATTCGTGATACGCGCACTACTGATGACTTATAACAGAGATTGAATAGCTGTAGAGAACTTCTCGGCTTTTGGCATACAGAGGCTTACAGGATGCGATCTCCACTCTAAGTTTCCTAGCCAGTTCGGCTGTAACTGTCCTGCGTTAACTAGAGTGAATCAGACAAACGATAAACAAGCAAGCGTAGGCTGTAAGGATGATCGGGAGTACTTTTTTCAGAAGGATAAAAACAAGTCGGACTCGAGCATATGCCTAGCATGTGGAGGTGTTGCTTTATACGTTTGTGATCAGTTACACTCAAAGAATAGATGGCGTGTTCAGGATACAGGGTACATGGACCTGAATACCAGTGAAATTATACAACTTGAAGTTCTTTTTGAATACATGAACGATTTTATGTGTCCATCCTTGAGACTTTTTTGTGAAGTGGTACTTCTAACGGCAACTGGGGATTTGTGACAGAAAATCTGTCCTGTATCCAAAATGGGCATCGTGCACGTCATTGCAAACTGTAAATCCTGACTATTGAAATCATCAACCAATAACCGTGCTAATAAAAAAACCTCAGGGCTGTAACACCTTCCAGTGCCTAGCTGCCATGCTACCCGAAGAAAGCACGAGGGCTGCCAGTTTGCCCAAGCCTAAACAGGGGAAGTCGAGAGGCAGAGGTCGGGTTCGAACCACGGACCTTCCGGTCAGTAAATTCGCGCTCTAACCACTTGGGCCATCTCGCCCCACCGTGCTGATCCACCCGTCTAGGAATGCTCGACTAGCCTGAAAAGCATGTTTGCCACTCAAATTAATATGTCATCGATGAGTCGATGGCCCCAACCTGTGTAGCCTATTTTCAGTCAAATTTCACTCCAAATTTAATTGGTTCCGCTTGATTAATTGAGCCATTGGGTTATTTCACGCCACAGTTGCTTACAAATTTTGCTTCAGCAGCAAACTGGACTGGTTCCAGCTCGATCTCTCGTTTACGGTAGTATTCTTTTACTAAATGTACTGCACCAGTCTGTCTCACGTTCCAGCTGGTACAATATTCGAGATATCGTAATACGTTCTTGGCCAGAGGCAATAAACTACTCACAGGGTTGCCGAACACTCTCCGACGCCACAAGACTCATCTCGTCCTTCTTGGGACTAATCAAGAGGCAGCCTGGTGCAACGGATTCAGTTGGGAAGTGACAGATGAAGCTGGATGAGTTGAGTCACCTGTCAAAACCAAATTTGTGAGCGAATCAGAGAATTCGCTAAACTCCGTCCAACTTATGTTCAAGTGGAACATACACCTGACGGATCCTTGGGGACTGTGCCCACCTGGTAAGTCCCAAGAAGGGTAAAACCAATCATGGGCTGTTGTAGGGTTTTCAAAATTATTCGTCTAAGAACCAGGCAGACGTAACTAACTACACAACCTGTCCAACTGTTTTGAACATCACCGTGGAAGCTGATGTCCTCATACCGCTAGGTTATCATTACATTGAGGTAGCGGAACTGCTCTAACGAGGAGGAAGCAGAGTGCGCATTTAAACTACAGTGTCACCACTAACCACGCAAATCAGGCGATCCTAGCCGTTTCAATGAGTTTGAGCACGCGTGCTCAGTGCTTCCATTATGTCCAATACAGGTACTGGCTTTCCACTGATCAAGGACGTACATTCGCTGCAGTTGAGTAAAAATCAGCTACATATCGATCCAGCAGCTAAATGGTCTATCTTCCGATTCACTCCGTTTGTACTATCCCTTGGCCCAGTGAGTGTTCTTTTGTTTTGTTCTACCTAACACAGCCACCTAGCAAATATTTCTACTTCAGATTCGTCACTTGCACGCCGTTCAGCCGCACTGAAACAATGCAGTTTGACCGACGTAATTGTAAATCATACCGTGGTTTTTAGTCTCCCTGGTTTCCTCTACTCGCACGCAAGTGACGTACAGCTGCGCTGAGCTTCGCTCCTCAATAACGCACTGATGGTGTAACTTCGATTGACCATACGTTTACAATTAAATTGCCCAGTTGAGCGATGACCATCTACACTACCTGAGCCACAAGCACCCTCCTCAATAACTTCTCAAATGATGTGACTATATTTAACTGTTACTTCAGGGAACGCTGGCCCAAACAGTTTTGGGTAGCACCAGCCCAGAGGCAACATTCCGATGAGAGTAAGTGACGACGGCTCTGGCGCATCCCGTCAAAGCATTTTCAGTGCCCAATCTGGTCTACAGAACGGGTCAAATCGACCCATAGGGCCTTGGACTAATCAAAAATCTTAAACAAATCTAAAAAGCAGTGAGGAAAAAGGCATGTTTCTAGCAACAAGCCGGTTGGCATCGGTCAATGGTTTGCACTGTGCGCGATTTTTTTTTTAATGGAAAAGGCCATCTGGTGTGGCAGATTTGTCTACCAGACTTGCTTTCTGCCAAAAGCAACTGCCAGATGTTTGTGACGAAATGGAAGAAATTATCGTTACGTTACTGTAACTCGTTGTATGCTTCACGATTGTTATAGTTTTCTGGTTTTACTTTTTTAGTTGTACTCACCTAACCCAAGCCCAGGGACATCAGTCTGGAGCTGAATGCACCTTATGGCATTTGTCCAGGCCGTGACACGGGCAAAGAACACTTTCCTGATAGGTCATTTTCAGACGAGACCAGAAGTGTGTACCACCAAAGGAAGGGAGGAACAATAAAAATGGACCTGGTTTAGCCCGATGAAATTCCTGTGACAGGAAATCAGGCCTCACTTTAAATCTTGTGACTTTGAAATGAAAAAAGCTCGAAGTTATTACCTCCGGGCATGAAGTTGGCCGAAATCTATTAAATAGTTGTGCCCTGTTGTCAGAAATGAAATAAGTACTCGGTGGAAATTTGAAGACACTATCAAAAATTTGGAGGACGACTAGCTGGAATCAAAACTGGCCCTGGAAAAAATTAGAGAACTCTGCGGAGCACATCCGAGATTTTCGGTGAAGGATGGCCACTGAAATGTGTTTGTGCACATCAAGGGCTCTCGGTGCTCGTCAGCTCAGTACAACTCGGAGTAGTCTTGAAAATCTTAATGCGTATTGCTTATGTGTATCAATTAAGTGCCGCGTACCCTAGAACTCCTGTTGGATTCTAGGTTTGTTTCGGGCCTAACCACAAACGGCTTCAAGTAGGAGGAGCAGTACTATGTCATCCGAACACCGGCTACTAGATGCCCCCGAGAAATATGAGGCACTATCCTGGATAAGCAGGCAGTTGGTGTCATTGGTTTGTCACCATTTTCAGGCCAGATGAAGGTTGACAACAATCAGCTATGTTTTACTCCTGATAAGATCCGGATCTGCGTTGAGAAATTGCAGGTAACAACACAATCAAATCCGCACAAGCATCCCGGAGGCACCCAATCGCGATTCGAGATGGATGCCACCCACTTAGACGTGTGGAGACGGCGAGTCAGTTGGAGACGATCGCCAGCCAAGACAGAGTACCAAACACCCTTACTGTTGCAGAGGAACTGCGATAGCCTAGTTACAACTCTTTCGAAAGTCTTTTCTGTTCCAATCGTCAGGATCACAAACAGGTGTGTCATTAAACCATTGCGCAATGGAATAAGCAAAGTTCAGTAGCCGAAAAATTTCGCCCATTCGACTCTGTTTCGTTTCAGGTGTTGTGATGGAAGATCAGGTTACCAAATGATTCCTTGTGTTGTCTATAAAGGCATATGAAGACCTATCGAAGCCAGCAAAATCAATAATACGGAACGGTCTTCACAAGCAGCCTCTGTAACCTACGATTGCCCACACCACCGTAGGTGGACAATAGTGTCTAGCAAAGTAGCGGGATTAAAGCCATCTGAATGACTTCTGTGTGGACAGAAACTCCAACAGACCTCAATTTTCATTGCTTTCATTGCACTGTGCAACTATTCGGTCCTCAAGGAATTGCGCCGTTAGGTTACTTCACGGAAAGTTAGATTAAATGTCTGAAGCAGGTAAACCTAGTAACATAATACAAAACAGGGTATGTTGACGATTACAAGACTCTATCGGGCTGCAACATTTCCAACTTTGCACCAAGAGAATTTTCACAAAGGAAACGATAGGATCAACCCTACGGAAGCAGCGCGGAAAGTGTAATGTAAGAGTGTGCCCATGACTCTAGGATCATTGAGAGATGGAGCGTGGAACGAGGACAATACATCACAAGGATTCCAACCCCGTATGTATGGAAACGACAACCAGGTGGTAGCATGTTGTTAACTATGCCTTGAAAAAATTTCTAATAAACAAGAATGGCACGTCAAGACGTGATTCAGGTAGAAAAACCGGTCCCCATGTACCTGACAACAGCAGTCACCCCAATTCTGCCCTGAAGTGTCCAGTTAGTGAGGAAACACATAAGCTGAACAAGGTTTAGAGTGCAGCAGAGGTGTGGAATACGTTGGCTAAGTCATAGCCTCAGCGCTGCTGAGTATGGGGTGTTCTGACCCCATGGGACTCAGCTTGTTTGGACAGGCGCTAGAAGGAGGAAGCAAAGCTGGTGAACCTTATTCCCGTTGTCAACGAATCAGGAAAGGATCCAGTGACCAAAAAACCTGTCCCAAAACACTTCAATGACTGACAGACTTCCTGTACATCTGGACACCATGACCATCGTTTGCTTCAACCAAGAAGATGTGATCTAAATGCCCGTGTCCTGAATGATAAGCACACGTGTTTAACATTTGCAAGCTCTTAGTACTGAACCGCAGCCTTAGCTTCAACCTCACACAGACCACAATGACTTCCCACAAGCAAATAAATCAATCACTAGAATCAAACCGCAAATTCGGATGTCGAGTTCCCAAACACCGACCAGGATTATTCAAAACAAACGTGGTCACAATGATGAGGATGGTTTGTATGAATGATTAGAACGCTGAGGGAAAAAACTCAGTACCACACAAAAGAGTTAGTGAGAAGTGAAGGCAATCATCAAAAAGTAGTGGGAATCTGGGAAACATGGTCCGAATCGCTGTACAAAATGCTTGAATCTGAGAGGGACACCGGAAAGGTCTGCGGAGAGGCCGCGCATTAATCAGTCGCTCCAATCTGGATCCCAAACGCTCTGCTCTTGCTGTCGACCGTCTGCTGAATAGTGATTATGCAACATTCGGGAAGAGCTACCGTTTGGAGGCTGCATGTTCACGTGATTCGTGGTTTGGGGTGATTCATCATCAGGGGGATTATCTGTATCGTCTTCATCGGGAACGCACTGTAATTAGTTTAGATTATAGAATTGGAATGAAAAATTCAGCGCACGCCAATAAGACAGGAAAAGCTGGATGAGGTTGGTATTAGATGGTACGTTCAAATAAACGCGATTCACTTGAAAAAATAAAGTAACATACCCAACACGCAGTAGCTACTTTTTTGAAAAACAAAACACAAGCAAATCACCAGTGATTTGATCTGATTCATCCGTGTGATGAAAGTACCGACGTTAGCAGCCGCAGTGGAAATATGGGTGGACCTCGAATGGAGAAGTCAAGGAGGATGGATCAAACAAAAGCTCCATTACAAAAAATGAAGGGCTTTTGCCCAGAGTCAGTCGAGCATATTGATAGTCAATAACTAGGGCCGTGCATCGGTCCACAAGGAACTCATCAAGTATCGGCAGGTCCTCCTATTCCGGATGGGTTTTATTCCGCAAGCGTGCAGATAATTATCGGCGGCAGCGGACGTATACCCGAGGGGCATACGCATCCCATGAATACAAACGACTCACAAGAAACAGTTGGAGTGAAGTTAGTCAGAAACCCTATTTTCCTTCCAACTGTGAGAAGCAGCCTTAAATTTTTCGTTGCAGCACAGTGTATCGTTCAGGCTAGTATTTTAGTGTCGAAATACCTGCCCCTTAAAAGGAGAATCCGAACGGCCCAAAATATCATCATTAGTGTAAGAGAGAAGACCAGTCCATGGAAAGACTCAAAACTCCCAAAACACCACCCGGAGGGAAGAGGCACATAAATTGGTCAGAACTAGCGCGCGAATCAATGGATTTTCACTTGCGTGAACATCATTTCTGGGTTTGTCACATTTTATGAGAGGAACTAACGCTTGGTCATATTGATTTACAGTAGCTCACACACTCAGGTGCACACAGGTACTCCTAAATAGACGGGGCCAACGGCAACATGAAGACTCACTCAAGGTGTGTATACAACGTTTCAAACTAAGGTACAATACTATGGTAATCAAAGTCATCCTCGTCGTCGTCGTCAAAATACAAACTATCTACTTCTGTATCCGCTAAGGGTAATAAGGGATGAAAAAGTACACAATTTAGCTGCTGTTTTGGGTCAAGCCATGCGGGAGTGGAGATCCATCATAGGAATGACTGCGAGCACCCCCAATTCACATCTCGGGACTTTTAGCAGTCTCAGGAACTAAACCATTAATGGGGACAGGTTCCAAGAGGGTCAGGTAATGACTGTTTAGCGGACGGCTTAAGGTTTGACAAGAAACTAACCCTGCTTCTTCTCTGGTGATAGAAATATGAAGTTCCGACTACTTCGAAACAAGCCTCTACACTGAGTCTGTGCTAAGCACAAACAATTAAAGAGGATATCCGTTTGGCGAATGATTCCTTTAGTGCGAAATTCATAATGATACCTTGAAAGACTGCGCCAAGAGCTCACACTTGGATATAGCAAGACCGTTCGGACCGTTAACAGGTCCGAACCACTACTCAACATCAACTTTCCCTCAGATTACTTGGATTTTACAGTTAGCTTGCCAGTTAACCTGGCAGAGAGCTACCATACAAAGTCTGCCCAGCAGGTTGCTCTTTATGAAATCTGTGGAAGCAATGTTTTCCAAACCCTTTACAAAAGAAGGTGTTCCTGCACCCCTAGTGACCCAAGGCCCAAGCCATGGTTGTCCTCTTTCATATGTACCAGAGGATTATGCATTCGTTTCGGTCTCCTTCGAGCCCCCAATAAAGTTTAGAACCCTTCGGTGAGAGAGAATTCGATCGGTCCCAAAACTCGATCGCCTCAGATGTGGCAATTATCCGCTGTACAAATGGTTTGATACTCCCACTCACTTCGTGAGCGAACTTTCCTCTAACGCAAGTGATCAAATACATAGCTATTGTTGGAATTCAAGGATTACTACCACAAGAGTTCTGTTTCTAGGGTATGATATCTACGATGGTTCCTGTAGGTTTTGAAAGGATGGCCTCTGAAAAGCTGCCGACCACAAGCCCAATCTCATGGGAGCATTGTAAAAAGTTTCAGTTGAAGACCGGACTATTTCGGAGGAAGAAAACAGGCGTAGTTACAGTACGGTAAACTTATTTACTGAAAAACAACATTTACATGCTTATTCAGCTGTACTCAAAATTGCACAGTACTCAGATTGAGCAGTCACGCGTCAAACACATTCCATGCGACTTATTCGACTGGTGGAGAATCAGCATAAATTGACTGGCTTTAAAATTTAACAAACTGTAGAAGAGACATTCGTGTTGCTGATGGAATACTTTGAAATGTGCGAGCAGTGACTTAATGCTGACCGAGACAATTCAGTGAGAATGTTGAGAGGTGTTAATTTGAACATAAGTGTCTGAGTACTGCCACTTTGTGGGAGTAAGCTGAACCCAGATTGCGACGATAATGTTAGCCGAACACGAGCATGCAAGACTCCAAACGCTTTTCATAACGAGTTCGTTGTGTGGTGGATACAGTGCAACTGCTGAGGTCTACCTTCAAAGTTGCGAGAGAATTGTACTACTGACTGTTGGAAAGTAGACAAATCGTTATAAGCCTTAGCTGACCCTAGAAAGAACATTCAAGGATAGCCGTGATGTGGCGGTTTGTGTACCTCGGCGACCTATCGAGCTATACTGGGGAGTCTGCGCGACACTCACAGAGTTTCATGGGTAGATTCTGACGAATACAGTCTTCTGGCCCTCCAGTTGGGGGTTGGAACATGTGTGGCGACGTGTTCGGTAAAAATGGTAATGTACTTGCATTTTCAGCCGCTGCGGTTATGCTTTTGAGCAAGTACTGTGATTTAAATGACTGCCCCTCACTCTCTTCCAAGTTCCGGCTGTGCACCTCTGGTGATGAAGAGGCCACTGCAGCTGGATATGCTAAGGTGGGCATTGTATTGAGCGAACGAGCGGAAGCGTCTCTGCTTGATTGAATACCCTCTGTGTAGTTCGTTTGGCAACATTTGTGAGAATCTAGAGGAAATGAGGTTCATCGCACTTTGTTTACTATGTTTGCTTACGCCCCAAATGACTGTAGCTCTGAGTTTGCTTGCGCCCCAAATGACTGTAGCTCTGAATCTGCCACGGGCAGTTTCTATGACGCTTTAGGTGCCCTTCTACAGCAGGCTAAAAGCTAAGATATCGTTGTGGTTGCTGGTGATATGGACGTCCAGGTAGGTAGACTAATCGCTGCTGAGGTCCGATTGGGTGGTCGCCTTGATTTGGACACGAGACGCACACACAACGGAGACCGGTTACTTCAGATATATGCCGATCACAGACTGTTCCTTTGAAGTGCGAATTTCCGGAACAACGGAGATCACTTGACAACGTGGTGCCCACCATCAAACCACCGCCGAATCCAAATATATTACATCATCGTCAGTTATCGGTGGCGAAGGTCGATCACCGCCTGTCACTCCTTCGGGAACGCTTGTGAGGACTCCGACCATGCAGTTGTACGCTGCTGGTTTTCATTGCGCTTTTCAGGTGTACGCAATTCGCGCCTAGCCAGTGAGACCTAGAAGTCAAACGAAACTATCAGAATAAGCTCCTAGAACACCTGTCGGACGGTACGGTGTCGGATATAAACGGCCACTGGGAAAAGATATCCAACGCGTTACTCAAAGCCGGAATGTCTGTTTGCGGCACAACTCAGTCAGCTTCATTCAAGCATTGGATTACTGATAAGACTGTGTCTTTGCTGGCTACCCGCCAACCGATTCCCCTTGGCCGCCACCACAACTCCAGCATCAGTTGATGCCAGTTGAAAGTGAGTGTCTGCGCAGACCGAGAGGTTTGGTGGACCAGAAAGGCTGAAGGAATGGAAGATGCAAAGAATGCTGGAAACATCCACAAGCTGTTCCACTGGAATCGCTCAACCAGTCCTCAATAACCTCTCGTCAGCGAAATAACTAGGGACCAAAATGGCTCGCTGATATGCAACAAAGCAGAACGTTTGGACCGCTGAGCATAGTATTTTGAACAGCAATTCAGCTGGCCACCTGCTACCTCCAATCCAGAATCCTGACCTTTGACTTGTGAGAATCAAGCAGGATTTCGACCGGGAATAAGCTTCGCTGACCACATCTGCACACTCCGTCAGGTGTTAGAGCAACGCCACACGTACAGACGACCCACAATCCTGGTATTCCATGACTTCAAGGGTGCGTTTGATTCCGTTGATCGATCAGTGCTGTTAACTACACTTGCTCAACAGGTGTACGTCCCAGAAGTTTGTAAACACAGCCCGATCCCTATATTCACCTACTTCTAGGCAGGTGAGAGTGTATGGTGAGCCTCCAAAAGCTTCCCTACGAAACGTCGTATTAGACAAGGATGTCCACTCTCTCCATTCTTGTTCAACTTCGTCATTAATGAAATAATCAGGCGAACACTGAGCGGTCTTTAAAACTCCGTTGTCCAAATTGTTGCTGGTGAGAACCTTGTCGATTTGCAGTACGCAGATGATATCGCCCTCATCTTTGAGGACCAAAGCGAAGCACAAGTTTTGTTAAATAGACTGGCCACTATCATACCATCTTTTGGCACGCGCCTCGCACCTTCAAATTGCAAAGTCATGCTTCAGAGCGTACAGTCTCAGATGTCCCTTACAATTCAAGGAGAACCACTGGAGACCGTGGAAAACTTTACATACCTCGGTAGTTGTATGAGCTCTCACGGGTGTGTCTGATGAAGTCAGTGCAAGAATCCCAAGTTTACGAGAAGCTCTCGCCTGAGTTCACCAATTCCAGTGGTGTAAGGCAAAGCTGTCCCCTTTACCCTTTCCTCTTCAACTTTGTTATTCATATGCTGCTTGAAATTTCGTTGCCTGCTTCTGAAACCTCAGGAGTGGAAATGTTCCCGGGAAGTTCCCTTACAGACATTGAGTATGCAGACGATATTGCTCTCCCTGGTTCAGATCCTTCCCAAATACAAACCATTTTAAATAACACAAATAAGTCTGCCGCACAGTTTGGCATGCGCAATCGACGTGGTATACAAATTTGTTTACCTGGGCAGCTGTATGAGTTACGTGGACTGGCTGGAGATGTGATTTCTTCTCAGATCGGAAGGGCCAGAACAGCTTTTGCCAACCTCCGATAACTATGCCGCAGACGTGACGTGAGCTTGTCTGTTAAGGGAAGAGTTTGCGCTGTGGTGGTGCGATCCATTTTGCTTTATGGATCAGAGACGTGGCCCCTACGCGCAGAAGGCATACGGAAGATGTCAGTGTTTGATTATCCGTATCTCCGCAGCATTGGTCAAGTCTGGTTGGAACATCGAATTAGTAATGCTGAGGCACGCCAGATTGTCTTAGGAAGAAGGAACACTCTCACGACAGATGAACTACTCACGCTTCATAGGTTGCGGTGGTTAGGACATGTACTCCGCAAAACGGAAGACCGTCTGCCTCACAGATTTCTTTTCGCCCAGCCCTATGCTGAGTGGAAGCGACCGAGAGGTGGACAGTGTACGACCTGGCAACGAAGTACGAAAACATTTACCGGTAAACTTAGTCGGGTGGGCAGCTTCTGCCTCCTTGGATGGGGACCCCCGGGGTCAAACCACCAGTGGTTAATGACATTGGCGAAATGGCCCAATCGCGCAGTCAGTGGCACCTGTGCATAAAAGCTATCGCCTTCAGTGCGAAGCTGCCCAATTTCTGAACAAGCTGAACATGCCTTCGCCACCAAGGCTTGGTTGTATGTTCCACTTTCCCGTTTTCCAGTGATTCGAAACTGTGCAGCTGGAACCAACGTGCCTATGGCACATGGCTTAAAGCTGATGAATTCAAATTGAATTGAGTGCAAGGACCTCAAAAGCTCGAATCACGTTTGCTAAGTTGCGTCACTTGTGGCATCAAAAAGGCATCTCTTATCGATGGTTTGAAGAGGTGGAGTAGGTAGCTGCGCATCGGAGGCAGGAGCTGACATAATTGGTGCGTAAATACAGGGTTGTCTGGGACTTGAAGTGGGTAGACTGGGAAGGGAGCTATGTATTGAAGGCAATAGCTTGGATGCACGAGCGCCATTGAGGGCACCACTACGTCATGTCTGACAATGTCTCTAACCATTGGTGTGTCCCGTCTCCGGATCCCCATCCTTGGAGATGGCAACGACCAGCGCAGTTGGGTTAGCTTGTAATGAATTTCACATTTCACTGCCAAGTCCCCTGCCTCAGTTCCATTTTTGTGTGATTGTGCGAAAATGGATATTCGAAGAAGTCGGTTAATTGGCATACGAAGCACGTGACGAAGCCGGTGTAACCTATGGAGTGTGATCAGTGCATCCATCGTGAGCACTTTTTCTTCCTGATTCCATCCAACGTATTTGAGCATTACTGATCCGGTGTCCCCACCAGACTCGGGCAGTGCTCCGAAGACATCGATAGTCAATCACCGAAAATCTTTTGACTTCCTCAGCTCGTAGCGACCAAGTTTCCGACCCGTATAATAATATAGGGCGCACTGCAACATTGTAAACTTGACCACTGACGGATAAGCTAATGTCACTTCTACGCCACCGGTGATGCATGTTCATGAAGAATGCCTGGCCTTCCATATGGAAATATAATCTTTCTTGGGACCACCGGGACTGATACAGCTACCCAAGTAAACAAATTTGTCTACTATCTAAATCGGCTCACGTGCAAGCGTCAGAATTCGAGCCCACCCAGTCTTGTAGCATCAGGTGTGAAGCACATGTCAAACCATGAGGCAGAATTCTTTAGACTAGTTAATATTGTTTGGGATGTTGATCAAGGGATCGGGGAACACTAGGAAAATAGAGACAAGTGAAAATGAGCACCAACAGGGCCAGTTGGGTCTATGGTTTGGGTCTTCCGGATCTACGCATTGAAATGCAATTGGGCCCAGAGCCTTCCTTGGCAGAGATGCAGATGAAGAATAGACCATCTGTTCACCAGAACGCGGCATTCGTCAGGAGCCTAAACCATCATGCGGAGGCCAGCAGTTCTTAATAACCGGACATCATGTCGACTGGACAGATGTGTCACGTGTAGGCTATGGACTTAACGAAGACATGCCCTGATCAGTCAGAATGTCAACCAGTCAGGCACAAGCAGTATGGCTCGGCGCTTCTCATCCCTTCAAGAAGATTCTAGCGCGACTTTGTGGAGCATTCTGTGATGACCCTATAAATACAGCTGTAATAATCCTTCTTTGTCTCCATAAAGGGTTATATCAAGCTACCGTGCCTTTTGATACACCGCAATGAGCGGTGAAGGAAACAAAGGACAGACATAGACGTTGCACTACCGTTTGCAGTACACAATAGGTGTGGCCCGATAGGTTCTCGGCGAACCCTAACTGTGGTTCATGGTACACAACCTAAATCAAAGGGCAACCATAAAAGACATTATTGGTGAAAAACACAAAAAACGTCACCCATCGGTAAGCACGTGGGTGTGGGTTGACCTACCTTGTAGGGATTTGCGACACAGTCTAGCTGTGTACTTTGTGTGACCGCTTTACTGGAAGCCATGTGTACTTTTAAACAATCGTCCTTACAAACTCAGAACAAAAAAAGGACCCACGAGCACATACTACTGTTAGGTCAATGGTCAAAGGGTTGTTTGACGGATCAAGCAGGAACAATCAAATTCGTGATTAAAGTCGACATCAAATAACGACATGCTACCAGTCGACACTGTTCGGATTGACATAGGCGGATTGTGACCTGCCAAGGCTTCCGCACACGTTACGGCTACAGAACATCAACGATTGCTTACTGATATTTAGAATATCGGATCAACCAGTCGTTTCAAAAATGAAATTCTCCCTGCTTAGTATGTCCAGTAAGACTCTCCCTGTATCGACTGAGGAAGTGCAGCTTACAGATGACATACCGATAGAAGTCGAAAAGCGAGAGCTCTATTATTCATATACTGCTAGATTGACCCTTGATATCTTCCAACCGCGATAATGGATGCATAGTCGATTCGTTCGCTGTAGACTATAAGGCCGTAACTTATGCAACGTAATATGCCCCGGATTCCCGAGATACATCAGTGTGTTATAGTAGGCACAATAAGAATGCTCAAGGAAATTTTCTGACTGCAAATAAACTCACGAAAAACTCCACAAACGCGACTTGGCCATCCAACAAATTGATCATGTGTTGCATTGACAGAAAACCGCGTTCGTTGATGCGTATGGAGATCCGTGTGGCCAGTGTCAGGGCCCGATTGATTGCGGGACGCAAAAGAGACAGCCGATAACGAGCCAAACGAGGATGACCGGGTCGCACTTCGAACACTTCGACTTGATCGGATGAGCGAGGAAGGTCAAAATGAGTGGTCCCCGATGACCCATAAGTTGTTAAACGTAGTCGAGGCTGCGCGGCTGGAGCGGGAAGCAAACCCAACTCGAGTATCTCACTGGACATGTCTAATTCACTGAAAGCCTCACGAATGCAGTCCGACTAGGGAGTGGAGCAAAAGCACATGCTTGTTATGTGTCTGTGATGAAAATAACACTTTCAGTTAGCGAGCCTTCTATAGGATAATTCGTTTCAAACACCTAACCTAGTTCTATGGAGACGACGAGGAAATGGGAACCTTCGTACTCTATATGTAAATGGCATCATTTCCTATAGCTGATAACTCCAACTTAGCCAGTCTAGTTGGTGATACACAAGCTGTCTCTATGAGCTGCCAATTTTCACATCATCGTCATCAGCAGCAGTACCGATAGCACAACAGTCATACAAGCATAACTTATTTGAATGAATTATTGTGAAGAAAAGAATAAAACTGGATGGATAAGGGACTACCACGCCTACGCCTTCGGACACTCACACAGACACCTAGGATAGAAAATGGCAACAGGAGTACTACTGATATCGATTAGCAGCCATATCTTGCTGGATGAAAGTGAGGGTCCTTCGGACACTCACACAGACACCTAGGATAGAAAATGGGCAACAGGAGCCTACTGATATCGATTAGCAGCCATATCTTGCTGGATGAAAGTGAGGGTCAAGCGCACCCCATTCTGGAAGGCGAGATACGTCAAAAGTACTGACTTTTCATAATCTCTTTCATATCTGTCACTTCAAAGGTTGACCACTTCTCTGATTGAGCCACTCTTAATTGGACACATAAAACAGTACTCGCTTTGAGTAACGATTATTCGGTATGAGCTATGCATGGCCTAATCATCGCAGTTTCTCACGCTAGACACACTCTACGACTGAAGTTCCTGTTGTGCAACCGAACATTCACTTTCCCATTGCCCCATTACGGAATCACCGACACCAGTCCACACGAAATTTCGCTCTGAGACAACAGCCTTCAAATATCTGGAGATGTTTAAGTCATGTTGTTCGAAAAGGTCAGACCTCACAGCCGTACATCAGTCTGCACTGTAGACTAATACACAAATCCCTTGAAATTTGGGAATGTACCACTTTGCCGCTAAATGTGTCCCAAATTGGTAAACGCGACGCGAGCTTTATAGATCTGTGAATCCGCTTCATCTTTCACACGACAGTTGGAACAAATACAACTTACAAGATATGTAAAACGGTCCTTAGTTCCGAGTGCCTCCCAATGGATTGTAAGTAACGTGTTCAGTGGCTGCATACCCAGAAGCATAACCCTATACTTTATGGGTGCAAAGCCTACAAGTCCGCAAAAAACGGTGGAAAAAACAAAAAAGCTGAGGGAAAGTTAAACCCACAAATACGCGCCAACATGGTGGACAAACTTACCACAGAAAAACACATCGATGGAAGACGTATGTTATCGAATGAGAAGTAAAAGTAGAAGAATGAATGACCAGGACTGTAACTCAGTAAGTCACTTTAAAAACGGTATAGGAACGCTGACACCTTCAGGTTGAGGTCGCACCAGAATCACGCCCACTACTGACAATCAACACACACACCGGGCTGTATCAATACAACCGTCTTCCGTTTGACGTCAAAACCGCCCCAACAATTTTCCAGCAATTGATGGACACCATCCTTTCTGGCATTCCAGGTGTGATCGCATACCTGAACGACGTGCTGATCGTTGCTGTTTCACCCGAAGAGCTTCGTGAGCGAATCAATGTCGTCTTACTGCGCATTCAGGACAATGGCCTCCGCCTCCGTCCCGAGAAGTGTCAATTCTTCTTGACAACTGTGAAATATCTTGGGTTCATCTTCGACGCCTCTGGTCGCCATCCCGACCCGGAGAATATCCGAGCTATACAGCAGGATGCCGCCCCCTAAAAATGTTCCATCCTTACGCTCTTTTCTGGGGCTGAGCAGTTATTATTCGGCATTCCTGCCTTCGTTGCACGACATCCGGCCTCCACTTAATCGGTTGCATGGAAAGGACGTCCCCTGGTGTTGGTCAGAAGAATGTGAGGAAGCTTTCTGCAAGCTGAAAACCATGCTCAGCTCTGATATGCTGCTGACCCACTACGACCCGAAACTACCGATTATTGTGGCAGCTGACGTCTCCAACTGTGGAGTCGCTGCCGTCATCCTACACGTCTTCCCAGATGGATCAGAGAAAGCCATTATGCATGCGTCGAAATCGCTAACTCTAGCAGAACAGCGATACGGCCAAATAGAGAAAGAAGCGTTGGCACTGGTGTTTGCGGTTCGGCGTTTCCACAAAATGCTGTATGGTCGCCGTTTAACTCTACTCACCGATCACAACCACTGCTCTCCATCTTTGGGTCAAAGAAAGGTGTTCCAGCGCACTCTGCCAACCACCTGCAAAGATGGGCTCTGATTATGCTGGGGTATGACTTCGATATTCAATATCGGCGCACCACCGACTTCGGTCAGGCCGATGCATTATCTCGGCTGATCAACAACCATCCAACACCTGAAGAAGACAGGGTCATTGCAGATGTTGCATTTGAGGACCCAGCCGACCCCCAGTTGGTCCAGTCCGTTCGTGCCTTGCCCGTGACAGTAACAGAGGTCCAAAGAGCTACCACAGCTGACCGAACGCCTCAAAAAGTGATCCAATTCATGAATTCTCGGTGGCCTTCGAACCTCAAAGATGACTGTCTTCGACAGCTCTTTCATCGCCGAGATGCATTAGCGATCGTAAAAGATTGCTTAATGTTTGGAGATCGCGTGGCGATTCCTCAATCTTTACGCCATCGAGTTCTTCGTCAGTTCCATTCTGGACATCCAGGAATCAACCGTATGAAATCAATAGCTCGCAGTTACACATACTGGCCACACATGGACCAGCACATCACTGATTTTGCAAAACGCTGCTCCCGATGCCAACAAGCTGCAAAGAATCCGACACATCAACCACCGGTTCCCTGGCCTCGACCTGAGAAGCCCTGGTCTCGGACCCACACTGATTACGCAGGACCGATACGTGGCGCTTTTTATTTGGTTTTGATTGACGCTTTTTCCAAGTGGCCATAAATCATTCCGGTGTCATCTCCAACAACATCTAGTACGCTGCGAGTGTTATCCAACATTTTCAGTCAGCATGGATTACCGGAGTTCATAGTCTCAGACAATGGTTCGCAGTTCACCTCCGCTGAGTTCCGCGACTT